AACGTTCTGTGATTCTGTGATTCTGTTTGCTGCTGCTCAGCCTGACTGCCTCCCCCTCTGCTGCATCTTCCCCATGTATTGCAGTCTCTTCTCCAATGCAGCTTTCACACCTACCCAATTCTTGTGCTCCTCTGGAGGATTTTTGTAGGCCTCTTCCATTAATTTGCTATTATCCCTGTTTCCCTTTGAAGCTGTCTTGTCTAGAGCAGAGCCCTAGGAGTTGTAGTCTGTTGCATGGGTCACGTTGGAGGCCCTTCTTAGAGCAGACTTCTTTTGGGACTTTATAGAACAACTTGGACCTGTGTATAGACCCAGGCCCCCTGAAGCACACTGAGCCCTTCTAACTGCACTGTGCGTATTCATCTGCTTGTGGTGTGGTATAGCTGTTCTCCTTCCCTGCAGTGATGAGTTGACCCTTGAAGGAATCAAGCAGTTTTTCGTGGCTGTGGAGAGGGAAGAATGGAAGTTTGACACCTTGTGCGATCTCTACGACACACTCACAATCACCCAGGCCGTCATCTTCTGTAACACCAAGAGAAAGGTACAGAAGCCACCAGATAGGTCCTTAATTCCTTCCCTTTCAGAGCTTGTGGAGCCCTGTATCATATAACCAGTGTTTTGTAAGGATTATTTACTTCCTTTAGCTCCAGAATATTTGTTAAAGTATCTCTCAGTCCTTACCAGCATGCACCACTGTAAACATTTTCCAAGCATAACTAGTGCATTTGGCTGTCCTGAGCAATGAGCTAACCCAGGTTGCATGGCTGTGTGCACAGGTAGACTGGCTCACGGAGAAGATGAGAGAAGCCAACTTCACAGTTTCATCCATGCACGGGGACATGCCACAGAAGGAGAGAGAGTCCATCATGAAAGAGTTCAGATCTGGTGCAAGGTAAATACCTTAAACAGTGTTGTTTACAGCATTGCTTCCTCAGGACAGGGTTTCTTCTAGCATCGGAAGGGAACAGGCCTCAGTAGCCCATAATACCTCTCTTCTCTGAAGGCTTTGTTCAGCTCAGATTAGGAAGGGCGCTGATACCCATCTATTCACTTGTTGTGTCGCAGGGCTGGGAGATTGCCACTTTCCAAGGGGGGATGCTCATACTTCTAAGCACAGAGTTAGTCGGTGTTATTTTGCTGAAGAGGTTGAGAGTTAAATTTAAAAATAAGAAGAAAAATATTTGGGCTCTGTCTTTTAAAAATCTTATGAGCATTATTTTCTTTCTGAAAGATCAAAGCTGTTTTGGTACTATCTGTCTTCACTGAAGTTTGGTGATACTGCATGGAACAGCTTTCCTTGCAGCAGAAGTGTGGATGCTGCCAGTGTGCTGTGGGCAGGGAGGGAGCACAGAGTAGCAGGTGATACCTTGTGCTGGAGACTGTACCTTCTCAGTTCCCACATCTGCCCTGGTGGGATGAAATAGCCATAACTGTCCCTTTCTCTTTGCAGCCGAGTCCTTATTTCAACAGATGTTTGGGCTAGAGGCCTGGATGTGCCTCAGGTGTCCCTTATCATTAACTACGACTTACCCAACAACAGAGAACTCTACATACACAGGTGAGCTTGACCTTCACATGGGGAAATGTGGCTGGGTTACCCTTCTCCATGGGAGCTCCATTCTCTGTTTCCTTCTGCCTCCACAGAATTGGCCGGTCAGGCAGATACGGCCGAAAAGGTGTAGCAATCAATTTTGTGAAGAACGACGACATCCGCATCCTGCGAGACATCGAGCAGTACTACTCCACCCAGATAGACGAGATGCCTATGAACGGTGAGTGCAGGCCAGCCCCAGCCCCAGCGAGGCGGCTGCCCTCCTCCAGTTGGGAACTGGTGTGCTGCATCTGAAAGAGAAATGCCAGATGCGTTGTCTTGCCACATGCCCAGTCCATCCCTGAGGACAGAGCTGGGAAGTGCTGTGCTGTGGCTCTCAGCACACTTGGTGTATACTTACACTTTCTCATTTTTTCTCGTTTCAGTTGCTGATCTTATCTGAAGATCTGCAAGTACCAGGGAGTTGTACTACTTGGTAGCCTCCGTAATTCTGTTTTAGACCCACATCCTTTTATCATATTGCTGGTCGTATGTTCTTGAGTTGAGCTGCACTTGGGAACTTGTGTAAATAATGTCTTTACTCCCACCCATGTTTTTCAATAAAAAAAGGAAGTTTTACCATAACCTGTGCTTAATTACTCTCACCCAAGATAGTAACAGGCAGGGAGTTTTGAAATGCTGCCACACTTGCCTAGCACAATCGAAAAACATTGAACACTCAGTGTATCTAGGTTCATAAATTACAGGGCTTCCTGTTCTCCACCCTTTCATTATTGCTGTGCCATGCTATGTGGTGTACTTTTTAGTTTCCTTAACTTGACTCTAAGGATCAGCCATCTACAGGAAAAATCTGTGGCCTGACCAAAGCCTGCTCTAAGAAAACTGAGGTGCAAGATAGCCAGAAATTTCCTGTTGTTTACACCTTTCTGGAACCAGGAATCACATCACTCAGTGCTCCAGCTGAGTATTTCCCTGCCCAAGGAACACAGGCACTTGAGCAGACATTTGTAAGGGCCTCTTTAACTTGATGCCAGCTGGAAAAACACTTTCTCATGAGTTTCTATTCTAAAGTAACAAAGAGCAAGTATTATTTGTTGTCTTCTCCATCCCTTTCTGATGCTGTAACTTAACATCTTCTCAGTCATCTCACCTGTTTCCCTTCAGCATTATGCTGTACTTTGCCAGCTGTAGTATCTTCCATGTAGCTCCTACCTAGCTCTGCTGTATCCTTTTTGAGGCAAGACTTGGCTGGTGCTATACTGCTAGTGGGGGGTAAGTTACTGTGTTTTATTTTATGCTTGTTCTGTTAAATTGGTTTTTGCTTGCTCAGGGACAGTGGAAGAAGAAAGGCCTTAATACATGACCAGTTTGCACAGAACTGGCACAGCTCTCACAGCTACTTTCCCGAGTCAGTAGTGGAGTCACCCTGGGTAGAGAAAATGAGTGTCTGTCTCCTTTATGCCCCTGTGTACTGCACTGGTGAAGTTCCTCTGTTCCCTTGCACCTACTTTGTGCACAATTGTGATATTCTGAACAGTACATAGGCAACAATTGAGAATTACTAAGCTTATTTTACTAAGAATACAAATTAGAAGGGGTTGTGCAATAGAAGTGAGGCTGCTACACCTTTGTGCCCCAGCAGGGACACACAACAGCTCCTACATTGCCCATACAGGTCAACATTTAGCCCCCCCCATCTTGTCCCTCTCCAGCTGATAGGATGCAGGCCTATTAGATGGAAGTTACCCCACGCATTCAAGCTGTGGATCCCTCCAGTAACCAGGCAGGGAGGCTCAGTTCAACCAGTAGCTGGCCTCTGGATCACCAGTTGCTGCAGGAGCTGGCAGATGGGCATGGGCCACAGCCCCGCTGCAGGTGCACGTTCAGCCCACCCTCACGCACTCACTGTGGCTCCCGCAGTAGCTGGCTTGCAGACACAAGCCCAGCCTGTAACTGGCCTTTGGGGCTTTTCATTTCTGGCTGCCTCCCATAGAGGGAGGCATGCACAAACAAACGGGTGTCAGTTTAACCCCAGCCTCCAGCCGCCCAGACCTGGTCCCTCCAGTTGCCTCATGCAGAAATAGACGCATATCCAGCCCAGACTTGGGACTGCTACAATAGCTGGCTCCCAGGCCCCCTGCCCTACTTGCAGGCTAAATCTGACTTGATACTCATACCCTGACACACAACCTCAGTCTGCAGCTGCTGGTGCTTGCTCCAGTCTGGCGCTTCATAGAGCCCTTGTGGCACAAGGTTCCACTCCTTGTACACGGCCCTTCATGCACACAGAACAGAGCCCCCACTCTCAGGAAGGGCATGAGAAACGGCAACAGAGAAAGGACACACTGCCAGACAAGAACACTCACCAGCAAGCTGCTGCCACATGACCAGCCCCTTTTATCCCCTTAGTCATCTACTTCCCACACATCCTTCTCCCAGAAATCACCTTGGCCCCTTGATCTTTGATCCCTCCCACAACATTGGAGGTTTTTTGCATTAATTTGCAACTTCTCGGCAGAGTGTTCAGGAACTGTTCCCCCCTCCATGCACCATGCTTCTGTCCTCTACCAGAAAGACAGAGTCTAGATAAAGTCTTCCAGCTTCACTGTCCACATCCTGGACAGTTCTCTCACCATCCCTGCAGGGCACAGCCTAGCCTCAAGTTCTTACACGTACCTTCCTGGAGAACACAAGAAGCAAAGGCAAGCACGGCCCTCCGAGCCCCCTGTGTAACTCCAGTCATTGGACTAATAAAAGAGATTAATCACCAAAGCATTAGATTGTTTAAATAAAGGTATTTAATCTGTACAGTTTGAGAGAAGATGTCATAAAATGCAACATTCCTACCTCATCTTCAGCATCATTCACCTGGAGCTGAGCCCTCCTCTGCAGAGGGCCGGTAACCACCGCTCCCCAGTTCTTTATGGTACAAAAGTCACAGTGCAATCGCTTTAGTCCTGGACAGATGATTTCCCTCACTCAAGAGAAGGGAGACTGATGAAGCTCAAACGTCGATGGAAATTGTTACCATTTAGGAATGCAAAAAAACCAGCTATTGCACACAGTCACTTCCAGTTGAAACTACAGCAGTTGATTATTTAGCTGCCTTAACACTCCCCACATCTGAAAATGCCTTAGTTGATACTGATCTAGTCAAGAGTAAAAACAGAGCCAGTAACAAGATTTCAGAATGAGAGCCGTTGTAGGGCAGAAGCTGACAAGCAACTCCACAAGTCAAGAAGCGTGCTTTAGAATACCAGGAAGTTTTCCAAGACGGGGAGGGGATATGAGCTAGACAGGTGTCATCCTTCAGAGACAAGCGTGAGAGGAACATCAGCTTCAACAGAAAGCTATGAAGTACAACAGACAATTTGTTCATATAATTGTCAGGATAAGTATTTGACATAGTTTATGTAGTAGAATACATACTTGAACATCTTTTAAAAATAAGCACAAATTTCATTTCATATATACACAACTGATTTTAATCATGTACTGAAAATAAATTACAGGAAATAACTTTAAAATGCAACAGAAGACAAGTTTCACAACAAACATTCCCACTGATTTTTCCCAAGGAGGTGAGAGATTGCAGTGCTCAAGGCAGGTAAATATCACAAATATATCAAAAAACTTCAAATTGTTGATGCATTCACACATTTACATGAGCCACAAACATTCCTTTACAGGGACTGCACTTAGCTACCACAGAACCAGGTTTTGCCATAAACTACAAAACTTTGATACAAAATCGTATTTATATATTTATATTTCATATACATGCCCTATTTGTGATTTCTTAAAAAATAAAAACTAAACACACTGTACAGACAATCCTAACTCATTGCTTGGTAGCTGTAGGCAACATTTTTGGATGGAATTTCTCCCCCAGTAGAATTAATGGCAATATTATATACATGAAGGCTAAACTGCAGAAAAAGACAGCTCAGTTCTGATATGCACCTCCCTCGGGACCAGGTCTGCGAGTTCAAGGCAAGACACCACTATGCTCTGAGCCACTGCCTCCCCTCCGGGTCAGTTCTGCCGTGGGCAGCGTGAGGAACCAATACATGCATTTGTGTAACACTGGTATAAAAGGCAATAAAGCAAGATACACATTGTAATGTAGCGGCTCTGATGGCCTCACCGACTCGATACGCACCCTGCACAGAAATAATCGTTAGAGGTGGCGAGGGGCTATCGCAGAACTGGGTACATTTGGTGAGAGCACTCCTTATAGGGGTCTGCTCACTTCACTTCCCTGAAATTACCTCCTGCAAAGGACAGATTCCCCACTGTAAGCCAGAGACTGCATCAACTCAAGACACTGGGGGAAGAACCCTCCCTCCCACACCCCCCAAATGCACACAGCTCACCAGGACTACATGTAAAACAGACACCCTCCCTCCCGCCCCCAGCGGTCTCCATGGCACCAGTTTGTCTTAGAAGCAGAGCACTGACAAACTTCACTCTTCCCAGGTGATGGCAGCAATCTGCGAAGCCAGTCACACTAAACTACTTCTACAGTTGATTGTAAACTTTGGTTTATTTTTATTTATTTTGTTTTATTATTGAGTTCTCATGGTACAGCAAGCATGTCTAGGATGAGAGGGTAGAGTTGAAGAGGAGATGAACTGTCAGTCTGTCTTTAGTCTGGCATGGTGAGACACCTGCTCGGTCAGGCCTGCTTTGATAGAGTTTTTTACAGACTGCCTCATATGATCCTCCATCAAATTATCACTCATGGGCTTCAACACCTGTGGAATGAGAAACGTGCAAAAGAAACAAAAAAATGAGGTAACCAAGGAAAAGAAAATACAAAAACATACAAAGAGACGAGACTTGAAATAATGAAAACAACTTAGAATGCTGAAGTCTGACACAAAGTGGCATGAACTGAAAGAGAAATGAGTTTCGCTGCTACAGTAATGAGGTTAAATCAGTCACATGCTATGGACACAAGTGATACCCCTCCTATACAGCAGTATTTCACTGAATTCAAACCACTTTACAGTTCCTAGAAGATGGATGTGCAATTCCATACCCTATATGCAGCATCAGTCTGGTATGGTTACAGCATTTATGCAGACCGGCCCAGACGGTCCAGCTTATTGTCCTATATGTGTAAGTGTGAACACTTCAGATACAGAAAGAAAGTTAAAAATACTGGCTAGTTTTTCTTCTTGTTATTGTTGGATGAGAGTCGCTGTCGCGGCACTGATGTAAGAGCACGACGAATTGTTCGGCGTCTAAGAACTTCAAAGAGTTTGGAAAACACCTAAAACACGAATTCAGCTGTTAGGAAAAGCGGCTCTTAGAAGGCAGCAAAAAAAGTCAATCAAGTTCAGGGGAAAAAACAACAACTTATTGCCAGTAACTTCTCACCTTCCTGGGATTCCTCTGAAGCATAGAGGGAAAAGAAAGGCAGAGATCAGGAAAAAAATCAACAGCAAGAACATGGTACACAATCAGAGTGATTCAGACAGGACCTGCAGGTGCTTTGCACTGGTGAGGTGCAGCTGTAGCAACACCAGCAGCAGCTCTTTGGAGACCACCTTCCTCTAGCACACAACAGGCAAGCTCCTGCTAGCATAGGCCAAGTTCTCCACCTTCCAGGGAAGGTCAGCAGTCAAATCAAGCCTCATGCGCTCCAAGTATCCTATGGAGGCAGCTGCACCCCAAGTACTGCACAGAACTGACACCTTCCACCTTCCTTGCAGTGCTCTTCAGTCTCAAGCCCCAAAGCAAGAAGCTGTGGTGGTACAGGAGAGCCTCAATGTGAGTCACTAGTTAGGGGTCTAACTCTAAATTTAGTTCCCTGATGCTCATTTCACTCCTGTTATTAGAAATTCACTTTTTCCACTCCAGTGTAACTCAACCTAACCTGGTTGCTCAGAGAGGCCTAGTGTACCACTGCCTGGACTAGCCTTGAACAGAGCCACTTTCAGATGCGGAAGAGAGCCTCTAGATGGAAGGCTCCAGTTAGTTACTTGCTTGTGCCTTGTGGGACACTTTTTAATGCCATCCCAGGTAAGTTCAGCGAGCCCTTTATTTCTAGTGACAGCAGCACTGAAGTGTCTCCCTTCTGCTACTTGGAATGCAGCAAACACTACTTAGAAGAGTTAGTCAGGAATTCCCTACATTTGCTTTCCTGGCACAGCTGCATCAACCGGGTTCAGGCAGCAAAATCTCTGGACAGAAGGCTTTCTTCTCCTGCTTTAGCACTCTTACACTCATCTTTTCTTTCAGGAATTTGTCTGTCTGTAAAGTATTTCTTGCAACAGCTGCTGCACCAACTGAAGTTGTCACAGACAACACAAGCCTTCCTTAAGGAAGAAACTTGCTGTAGCAGAAACCTCTTGGAGCAGTTGCTGCAAGTCATCAGCCAGTTCAGTTCTCCCTGAGGTCTAACAAGCCCCACCCACGCTGTCACACCATCAGGTGAGCCAAGGGAGGGCAGTGTTTTGCCTTCCCCATTTCTTGCACAACCCAAGATGTTATCCACCACATCCACAGGGCAAGTTTATCACTTTAAACATACCTTTAAAGGCAGAATTACTTGCTCTGAAAAAGTAACAAGATTTTTAAAAGTCCCTCCACTTGTTATCCAAGCACCTAGCAAAGCCTTTAAGTAACACTTTTTTGATAATAACGCAAGCTTAATTAACATTCTTTGTGTGCAACATCTCTTAGTGAAGAGAGCAGTCACATTTCTGAGCTGATCTTCCCTTTGGCAGCACAAGCACCCTCCTTTAGATCTAGACCAGCTTTTCACTCACAGCAGTGAATGGAAACATTTGATATGCGTGCTCAAGAAAGGAAGATTTTGCATTAAAAACAGATACCAACCTGTTCCCATATAGCTTCAGCAATCTGATCAATGGCTGTTCCAACTTCTCTGAATTCCCCAGAGTACTTAACGTATGCCCAAGTACAAAACGATATAAGAGCCATCCCCAGCACGAGATTACACAGGGTAGCTATGGAGTTCATACCAAGGAACCCAGTCAGTCCTGAGGTTATATACATGGCAAACATGACTGCAAATAGAGTGGCAGGGGTACGAGCAGCATAAAAGATGTTTTTGCCATCGTTGTGCTTCACAAAGTTTGCATAGATCTCATCGATTTCCATTTCAAGCTGTTCCTGGTAGCGCCGGCAGAATTCCTCCCCGCCCATCTTCTTCACTGAGCGGAACTGCCTGACAGCCAACTCTCGGAAATCCTGGTGCTTCCGCTCAAGGTCCGATGGGGCAATGTAAGGCTTATCTCCCCCACAAATCTGTTATGTAGAGCAATCAGAAATGACGTTATCACACCCTGAGTATCTTCTGCTGTACAGAAAGCAAACCTCCTCCTCACTGCCCCCCTCTCAACCCAGCATCAGATTAACTCCTGCAGCCTTCTTGGCTCTGGACACTCCAGAGCCCTGTCTCACGAAGCAGCCAAAGGTACTTAGCATCATGGCACAGCAAGAGCCTTATCTGTCTGATCACATACGGAGCTGTAGCACTTGACTGAACTCATACTTACAGTTCCCTCTGGGCAAGCCCAGAAGGGCAGACAC